AGATTTTGAATTGGGAACTTATAGAAAGAAAGAGCTGAGCGGATTGCAGAATACAAAGTCTTTGATGTTGTATCTTCCACAACAATATCAAAGAAGCGCTCTTGTATCGACCCTTTAGCATCAACGAAGCGAAGAACAATCGCCATTTATTCATGATAGCTTTCGTCACTTGCCTCATCTACAATTATTGAAAATTTAGAATCTCCCACTTCTTCAAAGATATGGGTCCTTACCTTCTTAGCCAAGCAATGCTGAATTTGCTTCTGAATCTCACGGGATATGTACTTCGCATTCAGTGGAGCATTATCCAACACCACACTATCTATTTCTTCATTGTTATCGGCTAAAAATTGAAGATGCTTGATAAAGTTTCCCCGATTAGTTGACTCAAAAGACTCACCGTGGCCTCTAAAAGCATGCCCTTGCAATATGTATTGAAGATTTCACACGAAGTATATTCTTCTTCACTTCAGAGGTTTGTCTCTCCATCGCTTTTTTCAATGTGCCCAGATTGTTCTAGCAAATCATCACGTTTTCTCACAACATTATTGTGATGAGAATTCGGTTTGTCCAAATATGCTTTTGGAAAGATCAATCCTTTCCACGAACCTTTTTCCAATTTCGAAAACCTTCATTCGTAAATATGCCCCAACCAGATTCAGCGATCAACTTTCCGTAAAGAGATAACATGGCAGACAATAAACAACATCTTTTGTTTCCGAATATTCATTCCAAGGAAATTCTTTGTACCATGAGGCTTGAAAGCTGCGAAGATGATCACGAAATTGAGTTTTGGGAAATTTTAAATGTTTAACTTGGTGAGGACCGGATCTCAAATATGCTTGCCTGATCTCGTCCTGTTTGTCATACGGATATGTCCAAATTGTATTTCGTAAACCCGGATCTCGTTCCACTATAGCAAAAGATGGATTCTTAACTCTTGAACTAGGGATTTCTTCTTGCTCCTCCTCTTCTTCTACTACTTCTTCCACCTCTTCTTCCACATCTTTTTATTGTTCGCTTTGCAAGAGATTTTCAGGCTGTATCACATCCTTCTTCTCAAAAAAGGAATCAATCATATTTTGTTTCCTCTTCATATTCACTGAAAAATATAAGATGCTATTATTATTTGGAGAATAATATTTGAAAAGTCTAAACAAGTTGTAGCTGAAAACAAAACAATAAAAGAAAAAAAATTAAAACTATATTGTATTGATCCAATAAAAACTAGAGAAGAATTGTATCGTATGCCAAAACAAAAAGGAACTAAACAAAATCAGAGTTGTAGTATCTATATAAGTAGGTAGTTCTGATTTGTTTATACATACTCGACTTGCTGATGATTCTAGAGAATAGCGGACTGTACAAATCTGCAGCTAATGACAAAAGATTGGCTTCCTATCACATTTTAGGGTGTAGCAGAGGAAGAAAGATAACAAAACTAGCGGACTAGGGTTAGTCTTTTTAGGATGGCTAATAAGTAAGGATATATTTATCCATTTCAAGTTGGGCTTGGAATTATTATGGGGATAGCAAATGTTTCAGTTTTGTTTAGGGAATGACAAGGAGAGCAAAATTAATTGCCAGATGGGAATCGAACTCATGTTCTCTGAGCACAAGTTAAGGTTGGATACCATTAGAGTACAATATATTACTTGATAAAATTTACAGAACAAGCTGTACTTATAAATTTTGTACTAAATATACTTAAGGTCTTAGGGATCGGGACTCCGGAAGAGAGGGGGGGGGGGGGGGGGGGAGGGGGCAACCCGACTTCAATGTAGCTCCGCCCCTGAAAATTAGACAACATCAGCATGAACTAAAAATATAACTTTCTATGATTATTTTATATCGAGACATAATTCATATGATATATTTATTCAGAAAATAATTCAATTATTAGAACACATAATGATAATTAAAAATATTTTTATCGATAATTGATTATAAAATTTTGATTCAAAAATTGGTTTGGTATCAGAGTCTTTAAATCATGATTTCAAATTAAAAAAAATTCATAGGTTATATTTACTTCAGGGAATAATCTAATTGTTATAACACATAATTTAATTGAAAATACTTATAATAGTAATTTATTCTAAATTTCCTATTCAAAATGGTTTTGGTATCATATCTTTTAAAAAAGATTCAAAGTAAACAATAAAAAAACATGTTTGGGGGAGGGGGCAACCCGACTTCAATGTAGCTCCGCCCCTGAAAATTAGACAACATCAGCATGAACTAAAAAAATAACTTTCTATGATTATTTATATCGAGACAAAATTCATATGATATATTTATTCAGAAAATAATTCAATTATTAGAACACATATTGATAATTACAAATACTTTTATTGATAATTGATTATAAAATTCTGATTCAAAAATTGGTTTGGTATCAGAGTCTTTAAAACATGATTTCAAATTAAAAAAAATTCATAGGTTATATTTACTTCAGGGAATAATCTAATTGTTATAACACATAATTTAATTGAAAATACTTATAATAGTAATTTATTCTAAATTTCCTATTCAAAATGGTTTTGGTATCATATCTTTAAAAAAAGATTCAAAGTAAACAATAAAAAAACATGTTTTTCATACGTCCAAAGAATTTTTTTTACTATAAGTATAGTAGAATGACCAATTCTAAAATTTAGAAATGGAATATTCCTGGAATATTCTATCAACTTTAACGGAATGCATTTAGTAATAAACTTAAGTGGTACAAGGTCCACATATAATAGAGTTCAGCGGCACGCGATGCCCTATTCTTACTTAAATGATATAGCTCTCCCAATTCTCATAGTTTAGTAATACCCGAAGTGTTTTACCCGACAACAATACTTATCGATCATAAGTCATTTTAAATTATGGAAGGTTTTAATTATTTGTTATATCCAAAAGGGGGAAAGCTAACTTAACTCAGCGTGCACTTCAAATTATTGTCTAACTGTAGATAAGTAAACGGCGGTAGAAAAAAACAAATAAACTTTAACCTGTAAAATGATGAGTAATGGTGGGGCAGACAGAAATTTGCATCATGCATGACGAAAAACATTTCTCTTAGAAAAACAATCAGTGCCTTCATTTACCACTATAGTTGACAATTGACTAGTCAACGTATCTTTCTCACTAAGAAATCTTCTTTTTGTTTCCTTATTTTTTTTTCTCAACACTAGTAGAACTATTCATTAAAAAAACACCAGTAGAATACCTTGACTCACCACTCTTTTTTGTATTTATAGCTTTCCTTCCTAGCTAGCTAGTTAAGACTTCATACCGCAATCCAAGACCTGCAGATCGATCAGCAAACCCATCTGAGTGAAATGGCGGAACAAGTGAAGGTGCTAGGATCGTGGGGGAGCCCTTTCAGCAAGCGGGTAGAACTCGCCCTCAAACTTAAATGTGTGAATTACGAATGCATTGAGCAAGATCTCGCCAACAAGAGTCAATTGCTACTCGACTACAACCCGGTTCACAAAAAGATCCCTGTCCTCATCCACAATGGTAAACCTATAGTTGAATCTCTAGTCATTCTAGAGTACATTGACGAAACATGGCGACACAACTCCATCTTTCCCCACGATCCCTATGAGAAAGCCATGGCCCGATTTTGGGCTAAGTTCATCGATGAGAAGGTACGTGTAGTTCACAATTGTAAAAAATGATTAAGAACATTTATATTGTGCCATTTTCCATAGCAAGTCGAGTTATCAAAATGAACTACTCGACAAACCATTATTTATGATGTTTTTTTACATGGTTTTTCTTCAGTGCAATGAGGGAGTGTGGAAGATTATGTGGTGCAAAGAGGAGGAAAGAGGGAAATTGGTGGAGGAAGTGTTGCAGCACTTTGGAACACTTGAAGGTCAGCTGAAGGACAAGAAGTTCTTTGGAGGGGAAGAGATTGGGATGGTGGATATAGCTGCCAACTTCATTGGGTATTGGCTTGGGCTGGTCCAAGAAGCGATTGGGATGGAGTTGGTGACTAGGGACAAGTTTCCAGTGCTGTGCAGATGGATGGATGAGTTTGTTGGGCACAGTGTGGTGAAGCCAATTCTCCCTCCCAGGGACGAGCTTCTCGCTATATTCAAAGCTCGCTTTAATGCAACTGCTTGGGAATACTAAGGAGGAATTGATAGTTTTCCATTTTATGGTTTCTGATATATACATATATCTGATATTTTGCAAAGACTATTTTAAGTATAAATTTGTAGTCTTCTATGTTTCAAGTTGTTATCTTCCAATATCTTCTCGGTTGTATGCTAGTTTTGTCTTCTACGTTGACCAAATATATGTGTTAGCATTTTTTCTCATATATATTCTTGAAAGAAAGCAGTATAGATACGAGAATATACAACGTTTAACAAGGCTAGGATTAAGAAAATTGAAATAAGAAAAATACGATTGTCGTCAAATTTTTGAACCATTGCAACAAGGGTTTGTTTTGCCATGAAAAGGGCAGCCCTATTATATCTACATGGAGCAAAATAGGACTTAGCATGAAAGAGCAAAGTCTGCAACACTTGAATCTCTTGCAGGATAGGGATGACTATCCGGTCCAGTCTGGTTAAACTGAGTTTTTTTAAAATACGGAGACTAAAAATTGGAATGGGTAGCATGTGGTTTTAACCAGATCCGGTCTTATCTAGTCCTTGTCCCGATCTGGTGTTGACACAAGCTGACTATTCCTTTAGAGTTTGTTGTTTGACACATAAGTTTTTTTCAATCATAAGGAACTCGTCGCCAATCACCTCCTCCAGACCTCCACCATCTTATCCTTTTACCATCTGCCTCTTCTCTCCATTCTGCCATCTCTGTTCTCTCTCCTTCCCCCACAATGATACTTCCATCTGCATCCTCTTTTCGACCCCAAATTCTGAACAGAGCTAACACGAACAGAGGCCAATCTGAGCATGACTAAGACCAATCTGTCTCTAGGAAGGCGACTTTCGATCTCAAATTCTCCCCCACTGCGTCGAGCAATAAGGGCCACTATGCCTTCTTATTCTCTTCTCTTCGACGAGGAGGTGCTCATAGCGAAGATAGATTGGGCTCGTGGTCAGCTTGCCGTTGCTGCAGTGTTGCGTCCTATTTTTGGTCAGGCAGAGGATGCGACAGAGAAAGGAGAAGGAGATCGACTTAGGGTGAGATTATGGGGTGGGGTGGGCTGGTCTTGGAATGCCAGTGGGCTGGCTTGTCACTTGTGAGTTGGGCTGAGTTGTTTAGGATCTGTAATCTGGTTCCAGTGGGCTGGCTTGTCACTTGTTGGCATGGATTGTCAACTTCCTTCTTCTCTTCTTCCTTTATCATGCTCAAGAAACATTTGGCTACTCCCATCCTAGTAGAGATAAACATAACTTCCTCCTTCTTGGATTGTTTTCTGTGTTACTTGAGAGGTTGCCACGAGCCTTTTGATGTTGACCATCGATTAGGAGTGCAAGTTTTCTTTTGATATTCTTGTAGCTCATTTGTAGTCCTCTCAGTGTTTCCTCTAGCTTCTCGAATATGATGGATTCCAAATTGGAGACACCTTCTCTTTTCCCCTTGCATTGAGGTTGATTGCCAAATCCAAATGGACTTGGTTTCGTTTGCCATTCTGCTTCATGAACAAAGGGTGCATTGGTAGAGGTGATGTTGGGGTAATCCTAAGATTTCTTCCCACTTGGAGCAGGCATTGACCATATGGTATGTGAGGTTGGTTGAATCTTTGATAAGGATGATAGCTTCCTTGTTGAGGTCTCAATTGATTGCCTTGATTTATATAATTGACATCAACATGTCTTTTCCCTTCTAAGCTATATCAATCGAATCCTTCTTGACCTTCTTCTCCACATGCTTCACAAACGAACAAGGATCACACCGGTCCATTCATTGGCTCCATTGAATCCTTCCTTAGTTGTTGGGTCAGCTCTTTCATGCATAGAGGGTGGCTACCTCATCCTCCCTTCCTTGGGTAGCTTTCAATGGTTTGATCATTGACGGACGCTTGGACCAGTTCTTTGACTTTATTGCTAGTGTGGCAAAAGGCTCCTACCATTGTACTCCTATCATTGTTGTGAAATCTCCATCAACCGACTATTTTACCATCACCATGGTGTCTTGATCAAGGCCATTGGAAATATACTTTGCAATATTCTCTAGTGTGAATCCATGATGGGGGCATACCTTGATATACTCCCGAAATCTCCTCCAAGCATCATAGAAAGTGCCTCCTTCCTTAAGCTCTTTTGTCTTCCATGGTGGAAAGTAATCCTCAATGATTGCTTGTGCTAAGGGCTCCCATGTGGTGAAGATTCCTTGCGGATGGTAGTCGGGCCACTGCTTTGCTCCTCCAAGTGAGAATGGGAAAAATTTTAGTCGAATTTCATCTTTGGTACCAGAATCTCCTGGTAAGGAATCAACGATCTCTAAGCATTTCTTCAAGTGTTGCACCAGATAATTTTCATTCCTTCCTCCAAATCTTCCTATTTGTTGCATGCACCATATGGATGATTTGAGTTTTAATTTCTTTGATTTTTGGTGGCGCAACAATGCTTGAGTTGATGTTGGATCCTCCTGGCCTTGAATACACATAGAGAGTTAGCGGAACGACCACTTTCCTTTATTCTTCTCCTCCAACCGACGTTGGTGTTGAAGAAATTGAAGATGCTCCTTCTTCCTCCGAATCATAGTTGTCTTCGTCTATGTTATCCTCCTCTTCCAAGGGTTGCTCGAAATTTGTGGGGCTTGAGGGCTCTTCTTCTCCTAAGCTAGATGCTCCTTCCTTCATCTTCAAGATGACTGAAATCAACGCTCCTCCTTCTTGAACTATCTCTTCCACTATCTTTAGGTTTTTGGTTTATCTTCTAGTAGGTACAGGACTCATACGAAAACCTACAAAATAAAGAAGACTTAAGACTAAACTAAACATAAGATGGTTAGATGCTTTTATATATGATGAGAAATCCATCAAAGACGCAACAAACTTTATGTGCAAACAACTGATAAAATTCTATGAGGCCCTAAGGTTGTATTCCTCGAGGTCTCCTAATGGATAAATACTCACACCAACCATCCATGGCATACACAAAATATGAAAGACATTTAGGGTTGTTTCATTCAACAAACAAGCAAAGCAAGAAGAGTAAAGTTGTTTAGGGGTTTTTTTATGTATAGATGCATAAAAGTAAAGATACATTGTTGTAGAAGGTAGTGAACTCGAAACTTTAATGCATACTAGGGTTCATTCATATCATGCATTGATGGTTCATATATTGTAACACCCTATCCCTTCCTCTAAGGCCACTCTATACTCATGCATGTGCCTCTTGTAATAGAGATTTAACTAGCTAATGCGTGCTGTCACGTCATGCCACTACCTAATCAATGAAGTACAAAAACACATAGTTTATTGTGGGATTCTACAAACCATAACCATAGTCAATAGCAATGATGATCTAGCAATCAAGAATTGATACTAGTCGAAGCATAGATGGTTGATCATTCCATCCATACTTGTGTAGCATCAATTGGGTATCCCTAATTGGTAATTTCTTGACAACCTAGGTAATACTAAGCACAATGCATATAGTAGCATACAATAGAATTATAAGCATCAATGATACAGGAGAATTCATACTATAGAACCATCAATGACGAACACATAAGCATAGAAACTAAAAGCATCATAAATAGGGAATAGCATCGAAAACTCCATAGATAAGTTAAGCATGAGTTGAAAACATAGCATTGATTAACATAATGATAAACAAGATCACATCCTAGCCCAATCAAATTTGAATAGCTACATAGAGGAGAAAGAAGGCAGCACCATTGATGACAAAAACTTTTTAGCTGAAGAGCCCCCTACTTCGACTAGGCTAAGCACTCGAGTAGAGTGTTACGGAGAATTTGTGTGTTTGTGCAGCCTTACAAAGCTACCGGATCATGCCCTCAATTTATAGGGAGAATCCCGGTCTAAAAAACCCAAAATCAAGTAGGACAGATTCTACTAAACCTCAATGGCTAAGTAAACTTTTTCATCAAGGCAAGGAAGAGGCGGATGAAGGGCTACGGTTGGACCTAGCGCTTTGTTTCTTCATAGGTTGGGCTTTATGGTCCACGAAGAAATTTCAATGCCAATACTGGAGAAGATGATTTGAATGGACAATTTTAAAGAAAAGCTAGAAATTTTCATGGAATAAGATGACTGGATCGAAGATAAGGAGACCACAATCAATAAAACCCCTTGGGGTTATGTAGAATCCGTCCTAGTGAATGAAACAAAGACTGATCCTAGGCATATCTTCATCACAAGTCTCATGGATGAACATCACGTAGAAAACAATATAGTTGACCTTGGTTCTAGTGTTGACATTCTACCACTGTGTAAATATGAAGAGATGGGACTAATCAACATGGAGTATGTCAACATAGAGATCATGCTAGGGAACAACACACCTTGCAAAGATCTTGGAATTATTCAAGGCCTAAACACCAAAGTTGGTCTGTTCATTTTCTTCCCTAATACCTCGTGATTGACATGGAGTGAAGAAAAGAGCATTAAACCTTCTTCGGAACTCCATTTGTAGCCACTACTGGAGCAAGAATTTATGTTGTTAATGAAGAAGTAACCCTGCTTGTAGGGAAAACTCTTACATAAAGTAGAAAAAACAATCAAAACGACTTATGATCATGGGGAGTATAAACAGAAGAATCTAGACAAGGAGACCAAATTTTAATTTGGTCTCTCATCTTGAGGATTCAACAAACATAATAGTTCATCACCATGATCTAGACTCAGGGTATGGATGAGTGTTGAACAAGGTTTCGCCATTTCTCGGTCTCAAAGTTGCTCAAATGACACTAAGTATAGTTAGTACAAGGTAAAAGATGATGCTTAAAAGGATCAAGGAACTAGAGTATGAGGAAACAAATGAGTATCAGGAGTTCATCAATTAACATCAACTGAAAGGATTCAACTATGATCATATCCTTGAAACTGGAAGGATAAATTAAAATGGAGTTACACTTTGTCGAAATATCAATTAAAAGGGAACTTAGCTGAGCCTAGCACAAGGACATAAAATAGAGAGCGTTCATTGGGAGGCAGCCCATGTCTGGCATCAAACTTGATGACATTAAAAAAAAGTACTTCCACGAAGACAACGTGGATTTCTCTTTCCTAGATTAATTTTTAATATCAAATTTATTTTTGGATTGAAATTTTAAGTTACTCATTGGAGGAAAATATTGTTTCCTTTGGATAGGTGTTACAGGCAGGATAGCTGCCACCGGAAGCCGAGGTGATGGAGACTGATAGTAGCCTGGAGATTCGAGAGGACACACTTGAGTCTCGCATGCATACCTTCTTCCAGTTTCCACTTGAGATTCCTACTGCCATGAAGATAACAAGAAGAGTTGAACTTGCGAGTCTTCGACCAATACCATGGATGGGGAATATAACACGCTACGACACAACACGAAACTGCGACCAAGTATAATTGCAGAATGGAAATGAAGAATAGTGGTTAAGTCTAATTATCAACATGTACTCTAGATCTAATGCTTACTCAGTGAATTTCTATTATATAGCAGGACTAAGCGAGTGTAGGGATTTCGGTGCAAAAGAAACAAAAAGCAAGTAATGGTCTGGTTCTTTTCTGGTTCAAAAGGTCATTCGGATATGGTTCCCCCTAGTGAGCAACTAGTTCAATTTATATGGTCCCAACTTACTCAGATTGACAGATAAACCGCAGAAAGTTCTTTATTGGTCTGGACTCTCGACTAAAGTTACCCACACCCTCTTGATTCGGCGACTAACCTACACCGGCATACACTAACCAAGGTTAAACACGCGAAACTTCCACTACTGGCCTTTGTTCTAGTACGGAGCAGTGAATCGACTTCTCGACTAAAGCAGTTGATTCACCACTTTCAATTAAAGGTTGCTCTTTTAACCTATACAGAGACTATCATGCTAGGTTAAAGCCGAAATTACACAGGGTTGATCAGGACTCATGCAATTCTGAATAATTCCTCAACTTAATTTATCAAATCAATCATTCATAACATGAGGTTCATACAATCATTCCTAACATACACAACTAGGGTTCTTCATACCTAGATAAAATGGAAAATTACTCCACGAAGATATGTGAGAACGTCATGCTCGGAGTAGACATCATCAAAACAACAATGGACAACTGCTCCTGGTGGATAATCGGTA